TGTCAATTTCAGCTTTTGTTGCTTTAGCTTGTGCTTGTGCTTTTTTCTTAGCAGCTTTTTCATTTGAACGTGCAATCCATGGTTTTTCTTTAGCTAATGTTTCAGCATCCATATCATCAGTTGATGTATTCTTACGTTTAGAAAATGTTGGTGTTTCAGATTCGACAACATTTGGATCATAATTTGGATCATCATCTTCTGATGAAAGTGTACGTTTACGTGTTGTTTTTTTTGTTGAACCTTTTTTTCCATTTGTTGTTGGTGTTGATTGTTTTGTTTCAACTGTTGTTGCGCCGGATTTATTCCATGTATTAAGATATTCAGTGATTTTTTTTCGTACTAATTCTTCATCTTTTTTTATTTGATTCCATTCTGTTTGTGCACTATGATGTGAGGTCTTCATTAAAAAAAAAATATATATATATATGTATTTTTTTCTTTAATAAATTTTAATTTTAATACTTACACATCGTGTCATTTCAGGATGACCTTTCATGTAAGCATCGACAAATTCTCGATATAAACAATATCGAGGACTTTTATGAGCCATAGTTTTGTATTCTTAAGAAATCTAACTAAGTTGATGTGATACAAATAATGTATGAGATGGAGGGGGTACCTAAACGACAACGATGACCGATCCTATAAAGAAGTAGATAGTCGACTGAACGCGAGGCAAATGAACAGAAGAAAAAAATACGAGAGAAGAGTTATAACGAACACAAGCACAGAATTTTAATGATCACCAGTATAAGCAAGAAAAAATATAGAGAAAGACGACGTGACCGTAAGATGACCCCTTCGATAGAAGCACATATGAACTGGACGTGATCAACGTGCATATCTATTGGTGCAAAGAAATTTCGTAGTGTAGAATAGAAGGAAAAAAAGGACATGACTACAATCATATATACATATATATGACCTCCGTAGTGGCAACAGCATAGTCCTTTACAATCGAAGGTTATGTCTGTTGCATATCATATACTGAAGTCAACGAAAAAAAAAAATTATTTTATTCTTGTTTTTAAACATCAATATAATTATATGTCACATAAATTCAAATGAATTTGAATATTTAATAATAAATATCATGATTTTTGTGGTAGAACATAAACAAAAATATTCATTAGAGTAAATTTTGTCCATATTACAAGAGTCAATTTAATAATGAATATGAATTATGTGTTGACTATGTGCAACTACAAGGTTCTATTACTATGCATAGTAGGATTATAAACATATGATCAATTTGATTATGATGACATAATAGAATAGATTTTGATTATCTATATTCTAATATGAATTCTAGGCAATTTGTTCTATGAGTTAAACTAATGAATTACAACATTCTAAAAACAAATCTTACGATTATATAGCTTTTGAGTATCAAGAAATCTTTACTGAGAAGTTGTTCTAAAGAATCTCTATTTGATGGTGTATTTTTTTTAAATACAAGTATTATATTGAATTATTCTACATTATCGATTTTTTAACGAAGCCAATGATCCACATCGATCTTGTTCCTATATTAAAAACGAAATCATACAAAAATGAATACATTCTAAATTTAGAATATTTGTTTTTATCTTCAAGACATAAGATAACGACTGTTTCTCTCATCTTCTTTTTCAACTTCTTTACAAGATGCATCGAACACTCGAGAGTCTCTGCAGTCATTTTAAAAAAAGGTCAACAATGTTCAGAAATATTCGAACTCGGACTTAGCGGCAAAAAAAGAGTAAAATGCAATGATATATCTTATCTAAAAGAGTGATTCGTGTCTTGGATACTACAGATCAGTATTGGTTGAAAAAATCGATTGAATGTTGTGAATAGATAATTTTTGAACAATTTCGATAAATTGGATTACTATTAACAGTTATTTTGTACTGCACATGATCGACATAATAAGTAAATCGTTCGGAAACTTTTGAAAGATTTATTCAATGTGTTTCTGCTTAAGATAAAAAATTTATTAAATATGATACTAAATTAGGACATCTAATAAAATCCAGATACAAATAATCATAATAGTCGAAACGTAGTCAAATGAATTAGTAAATGACCCTACTTCATTCAGGACAAAGTTATCACATACATATAAATCGAGTACCATATCTACTTTAATAGAAACTACCGACATTAAAAGTAGATATGCACTAGTCCCACTTAGAATAGTATCCGATTGGACGAGTATTATTGATTTGAACCCTCAGTAAAACTGAGAAGAAGTCGCATTGATGTGCAGTCGATTTGACATCCGGATGTGCTGTTACTCAATCAAACTGGTGAATACCTAATTAAAAATTCGCCAATTTTTCTTTCTAGTGATATATTATTTTATATGAAGTTGAAAAAAATAAGACAACAATCTGAATTTAGGAATCAAAATGTTTTATCAACTAAACAATTGTATATGAGTGAAGAACACAACTATTGTATCAGTCGAGAGGAAAAAATCGACAAAAAAATAAACTTAATGATAACAGAAAACTAAGTGTTGTAGTTAATAGAGCTATGTAGTGTGTGTACAAAAAAAGACTTTCTCAACACTTTCCTATGTCAACGTTTGAATCGACATTAGAGCCCATTGAGTTGGTTCCAGATCCGGCGGGTCCGAGTCCGAATATTTTATTCCTGATCCACTCTAGTCGTCTGAGAAATGTGTAGAGTGCGCTAGTCATCGCATATAAAAATCCAGAAAACAAACCATCTAGTATCTTCGGGGAGACTATCTAATTTTGATTAGAGAATTTCATATAGAGTATCAAAGTATGATTCGACTTGGTCCGGATCAGAAAAATTTCAATCGGCCAATTCCAGATCCCATAAATGTACAATAAATCGGATCTCGGTTCAAAAATTTTGAAATTAACCAACTCTAATCGGTAACCATATCGTTTATTTTGTTGAAATTCATAATAAACTTTGGCGATTATCGATGATAACGATTGATAAGTGCATTCTTTTATTGAAAGTCTTGTTAAGTTAGTGCTAGATACATTTTTCAGATTTAATAGAGGTACGAAAATAATGATATTGTGAATTAAAGTGTGGGTGTGTGTGAAGAAGAGACTCGCATTCTCGTGCTCACCCCACACCCGTTTCTGAAGTTTTTGATTGTGTTAGTTTTTACTTTAAACTTGACGAATAATTAAAAAAAGATGAGGTTTTATCCCCGGCTTTTTAATCTAAAAAAAAACAGTTAATAATAAGCTACCCGCAACGAGAAGATCACGACTGTGCAGTTTTTGCCATTCGTAAGAGTATAAGAGGTAGTATAATTTGACTGAAAGAGTATCCTTACTTGCCACAGAAACTTTCTTAATCAAAAAGAAGGAAGCCCCTGATCGAGACTTTCTCATTGCACATGAACAACCTTGACACCAGTGAAAGACTCACAGAGAGTTTGCTCGAGTAGATCATCCTCCACAGTGAGCTGAGCGTTCGTATATGATTCCTTCATCTAAATAATATTCGATCAGGTTGGGAACATCTCCTGAGCAATTCTTTTCTGATTCAATATGCAACAACATCGTCGAATCTCCTTTTTTTAAAATTTCGTTCATGAAAATTGTTGCAATGATTCCATCGACTCAGGTCAGAAACTCGACTCGAAATCAGTCTTTTCTATCACAAAACATTTTTTTCTCTTTCTTTCCGCATACGATGCCGAACCATAGATGAACGTGTCATTACAACAAGGAGAAAGACAAGATCATGAAGCGAATTGAAGAAGCAGAAATTAAATGTCTGCAGTAGGTCTCTGTGGTACATTAGATCATGAATATCTCCATCACACTAAGAGCTGAAATTTTTTTTTTGTAGTTTTAGTTCAATGGATACTCTGTTTTGGGATTATCATTGTCCGAAAACATAGAATTTAATTCAGTGCCGTTTTCGCTGTGAACCTACAGAGGTATTATAGTGCTCATATGGGAATGGGAATCTACACTATTAGCGAAGGGAATTTTTTTTTTCTTTGCACTGTCTACTTTCAAATCATATCAGTAGTCTACTCTGAAATTTCCAGTTCGGTAAACGACCCACGAAAAAAGTTCATATTTCTGTAGTGAAACTTTCTGAAACTGTCGATACCATTGGATTTTTCTATGCATTTAATGGAGTTTTTGGAATTTTCTTGAGCTTCCTTATTAGAGTTAGCATTGTAAGATTGTTGTCCATTCTTTGAGTTCTACAAGATGTCTACCGTCTTTTCGCATATTCTTTCTACACTTCTATTTGATATCTACATGGCAATCTTTTAAATCGATCTTTCATTGTCAACATGAATAACAATAATAGACTAATATTCCTTTATCAAAAGACTGAGAACAAAGAACAAAAGTTGCTTCTATGTCCTCATAAAGTTGCAATCATATTTGACTGGGTGTTCATAAAAACAAGGGGGAGAGGGGAGGGAAGTTGATATCTTGATTGCTTTGATTGTCACTGCTAATCAAGTGGTAATCAACGGCAATTAATAGCAATCAAGTAACAATATAGCAGGATCTTTGTGCCATTGATTACCTTGAGTGCAATCAGCTTTTTCCCTTGATGATAATACATCTTTTTTCATAAAATAAATGTTTCTACAAAAACTTTCAAACTTTTTGGGTATATCAAAAGGTACCCAAATCAAAGGAAATTCAGATTCTATTTGTTTCTTCATCATTTCATAGCATTCAATAATTCTATGTAATTAATTTTTTATTAATAAAACATGTTGTTGGTATAAATGGGATAGAACAGGACAAGCATTCATACGTAACTACAATGCAGAAAAATTTTTATTATAAAGCTATTAGTGAGAGTCAAAAAAACGAAAAGTTTGAAAATAATGGGAACAAAGAGTTGTGCGTTTACAGGACATGGACTATGACATGGATGTTATTGTTGAAGTTTTAGTGCGAGAGTAAGAAAAAAAGCTGCACTATAATATTAATAAACGAGATTAGTATTAAGGGAAAGCTGTCTTAATAATAAATGTGAGTGAATTAAACTTTGATGACTTCAATTTTGTTGCCTTTAGCACTTGTACGGGTATCATTAACATATAATAATTTACCCTTATCATCTTCAATTCTTGCACTTAATGTTAAACCATGATCAGGTACTTTGCTTGCTTCTTCTTTTTGATATTGAATATCAAAACTAATCGGAAATTTTTCTCCTTTTTTCAAAGTTATTTGTTGTTGACCAAGTGTAATAGCTGGTGCGCAAGTACGACTTGTATCTTGAATCGATATTGTTATTGTTTCATTACCATTAAATGTATCACCTTCACAGCCGCCTTTTCCAACAACAGTGCCTGTTGCTTTCGCTGCCATTTTTGTCTGCAGATAATGTCGATTTGTGTGCACAAAAACGTGAATATTTTGTTACAACGACAGTAGGCAACATATGAGTATTTATATAATCGAGTTTCTTTTTTTCTGTTCCTTTTTTCTCTCCTTTTTTCTCTGCAGGATACTCGAGAGACATTTTACTCTTTTTTATACTATTTTTCTGCTACAAAAACGATGAATCAGAAATGAATATAGAACATGTGCAATTATTTTCGTTTTCTGTATTCAGGTGGAAGTGATGCAAATCAGTTTCAATTTTCAAATCAATTTGTATTCAAAGCTTCCGGCAGCTTTATAAAAAGCGTACACTATTCTTAAGATTTTTTATATGCGCAATACTTTGCATACAGATCATTTATGAAATGTCGAAGGGCATCTCCTGTCTTTCACTCTAACCTGTAATAGAGCTAAGATCCTATAAAATGAAGCCTCTCCCATATTGTACGATCTTTCTAAGTTTTTTTGATTGGAGCCAAACAGTTTTAAGAGCAGGCCCATGGTATTACCGACAATCTATTTCGATGGATAAGCCACTATTTCATTGTTATGTCTGAGAACAAATCAAGATTCGATACGATATTTTAAGTTCTTTTCAGTTTTATCATAGACTGAAAATTTGCGTGATATAACTCCGGAAAAGAAATCTTTCTTAATATCATAACTGTGACCAAAATTGTGCACATACGGAATAATAATAATCGTCAACACTAGAGTCGACGCAACCAAAGTATCAGCTACCATCGTGCTTGCATCGAAAACGCAATTGATTAGCATATGCACATAGGAGACAACTAATGTTTGATCAGGACTTAAAGGTACTCAGTTAAAAATTGAATAAGTCGAGAACACCAGCAGCTAGCGATCTGCAGTTTTCAGCAATCGAAAGAGGAGACATGGAGTGTCTTTTTTCTGATAATATGTAAGACAAAACACTTTTAAAACTGTTCATCTCCGGAAAACATTCGAAAAAATGCATGAAGAAGGCCTGCCATTTCGATGAAATTTTGATTTTGACATATGATTTAGATCTAAGGACTTTAGGGCGTGGGTGTAGGCTGGAATTTGAACATTAATACCAGCACCCATACCCATGCCCAAATCTTTCATTTATTTGATATTTTTTAAAAATAAATTATTTTAAAAGCTCTGATAATACATCATAAATTTCTAACAGTCAGAGTTTCTGAGTTCTACACTTTGATCCAGCAAGGAATGTAGGTGTGAATGCGGATGAAGAGAAGATCGGCACCCACACGCACATCTAATCTGAGTATCAGGATATGCCTCTATTAATATCATCACTCATTGATCTTCTTTTCCTCTATTCTTTTCGTCCTCTCTCTATTATGCTTTCTTGTATTCATCTCTATCTCTCTACTCTTTCTTATATAAGCATATATGGTGTTTGAAATACAGACCTGCTGAAGATATGAATTAGCTCAATAAACATGATTATAGAAAGTAGTAGTAAGCTAGTGCTTCAGTTTGTCATTATAATTGTGCTTCTGCAATTAGTAAAATTTAGTCATGATGTCACTCACAAAATAGTAGCGTAATTAGAAAAGACTGACACATCTCACACGAGTATTATTGAAATAACGAAGGTTTTTTTTATGTTCCATTTTTTTTTGACATCAATGTCGAACGCAGCCTCTACTATTATCATTTCTACATTGACAGTTGTTACATTTCAACTAAATCGCTATTTGACAATATTTATTCTTTTATTCGGTACGATTGGGAATGTTTGAATTTGCTCATATGTCATCAACCTAAACATCGAACAAATCCATGTGCAGTCTATTTTTACTATCCATCAATTGACGGTTTAATTGCTCTTTATTCAGGTTTAATCAATCGAGTTTTTGCAATTTTCTCACGTGACATATCAGCAACTGATTCTACAATTTGTAAAAATTGTGCGCATTTATCATTTGGGTATCAACAATGGCTTCATCCTGGATTTTGACTTATGCCACTATCGATCCATATTGTATAAGTTGTCGTGATATTCGTCATCAGAATCTAAGCAATCTTCCTTTTTTGCACGTAGATTAATGATTATTGTGGTTGTCGGTGGATCGTTGATATTTGGCAAAATTTTCCATTGTTACGTACCAAATCTTCGAAATTCTCCGTTGATATATTACGCTCAAGATGTTGACATGCCATTTGTACAATGAAACTGCTTCAGCACTTGCATTCTTTTTTATACCATCAACTATTATGATAATATTTGGATATGCAACTGCACAAAATGTGAGAAAATTACTTTGTTCAATTGCACCGGTGGCTAGTACATATGGAACAACGATGACAATCAAGAAAATAGATCGACAATTGATTCAAATGTTAATTATTCAAATTATTCTATTGACTGTATTCAACATCTCATGGGCTATTCAACGTGTCTATTTGACACCAACATTGAATGTTTCGAAAAGTTTGTTGAAATCTACAATCGAAAATCTTTGTTTTCAAATATTTTACCTTCTGAGTTTTATAAGTTTTGGAATACCATTTTATATCTACACATTAACTGAAACTGTGTTTAGAAATGAATTTATGAGTTTATTTTGCAAAACACACTTGTTACTAGATGTTGAAGTTTATGTAACAAAAATATGATGCTTCTTCCATCCTGTCTGTCACTTAGACTAGAATTACCGCGTCAGGAAAAATCTCTATTATCGTAAAACGTTAGAATTAGTGTAGCAAGGATCTTCGTAAGTAGTTTAATCAGCTATCGTGCATTACAAATTATAATCCTGTGTTAGTTGCGCTCAAAGTTTTTCCACTGTAGTCATCATTGTATACATATTGCAAACAAATATTACTGTTATTATGATGTAAAATTTGATGTTGTTGCTAAATTTTGCAAACTTTTATGAATAAAAAATGACGTCAACTAAATAAAAAGTGTTAACAGAATCCCAATAGGATTAAAATGTGAAGTACGCTACAGCTATTATTGCTAATCATGAATATTGTTTTATTCGGTCTATTATGGGACACATTTCATTATCTTTTACTTAATATTCTAGACCTAGGATAAGGAAGTAAGTCACATGTTCTAATGAAATGTTAGTGACATACGGTCTGTGATGGAGGGCGAGAGGGATACAAAGTTGTACTCTATATACTGCAACACTCCTTTTAGGACATGTTTTCACGAAATTCAGTGCTTTTTTATGGTACTAATAGCTTTATACTTCTACAACTTGAATTGCTACTGTGAGAATACATGACTGACATCCTCTCAGGTCGAACAATCTTATAAAAAGCGCTCTACATCTTACAAGATATTACGGAAAATCGGATGTCGTAAAATTCCTTCTGCAAGAACATATTATTGTAAATATGAACTTATGAGTGTGGGTGTATCCAACATGCCATGATCTAGATTTCTGGTTAGTTATGCATGTTTAATTTGAGCGTTTTCGTTTATATCGGATCTTCGACATCGCCCATCAAATATAAGATGTTGATTGAATAGTGTAGATAGTTTTCACATTATTTGTCGTTATGCTTTGTAAGATGATAGATTTTTCTTATTGTGAAGTGATTATTCGGATGACATGATAGGACTTCCAAGGAATATTGTTAGCTATAATAAAGAAAACAAATGTGAACTATTGACTAGGTTAGCAGAAGTAATGGTGTAGATATTCTCCTCATAGCACGCCTACATCCAGACTCACACAAGCACCCACACCAATGAGTCAGCTTTGTTCGGTCCAGCCCAATCCATTGAGATCTCTTATATATATATCATGCATATACCTAATGACACATTTTTCTAATCGTCACTTATATATGTCTCTACAATGGGTATCTATTAATACAGTCACGGTGATGGGGCCCACCGATGGCCTTCAGTCATTTTTGACAAGCAACTTGGTAGAGAGAAGCTTTCTTTCTGTTTTTCTTCGACAGAAATTTATTTCTTATGTATCATTCGTTTTGCTTTCGCTTTCTTAAAAATCATTTATTACATAGCGTGATGCTTCTCGTTACAACAATCAAGACAAAGAAAATTGTCACAATTAGAACAGAAGGTTTTTATTTTCTTTGCTGTCGCATGCTCGCTTCTCTTGATTGTTGTTCGCTGCCGAACGACTTCTTAATTGTCATCTCGGATCAAGTTTCAGCTTATCGACTTGCATATCAATGACTAAAGATCGCACCAGATTTTAATGAAACGACAAAATGGTGATGGCGTTTTGGCATAGTTTTCCCTGTAAATCAAATAGCTAGTATCGATTAGCTTCACAAATCAGTAAACTAATAATTTCGTCAGTGATGAAATGTCGATAGTGATCAATAGGATTGATAGCATTATCATCCGATCTTGGCGTTACTTCTTCAGCCATTCTATGATTGTCTTAAACCTTAGCATCTAATTCTGATTCTATTTCATTCCAGACTTGTAAATTCATGTCATCATCGGCAAATTCTTCCTCGAAGCTTGAAGATACAAACTGTATTCTAGAAAAATCATCATCCAAAGCACGCACATCACATATATGTAATACTTGAAACTTGAATTCAAGTATTCAAGTATTCAACTATTCAACTATTCAACTATTCAAATGTTAACTTCTCAAGTCTTCTGCGAATATTCAGTGGGGAAGCGCGTTCCCCACCTAACACACTTTTTATTTCAGTGACGCGGCGTGGGGAGCGCTCCGAGCCCCCCCGAAGAGCCACGACCCATGTACATCTCTGTGTACACCATTATTCCTACTCAGTGCTGCAGATTAGCTGAAGTTTCTCACATACTTCTTGCGGTATCCCAGATAATGTCTGCAGCATCTCAACCCAAAGCTGTAGTATCCTAGGAAATGCTTGTAGCATGCTATGGGATGCTTGTAGCATTCTAGGTGATACTTGTAGCATCGTAGGTGGTGCTTGTAGCATTATAGTTGATAATTGTAACATCCTAGGGAATGCTTGTAGCATCATAGGGGATGCTTGTAGTCTCACAGACAATACCTGTCGATATTAGATGATTCTAGTGGCATTCTAGCCGTTAACTAATTGAATGCTTGAATACTTGAATAGTTGAATAGTTGAATACTTGAATACTTGAGTAGTTGAACTAATAGTTGAATACTTGAATTCAATTTTCAAGTTTGACACTACTGAATATTTACGAACAAATTAGTATATTTAATTGATCCTAAACTGTGATTGATATGTCGTCTTCAGTGCTCAATCGTGAGTAGCGCTGGAAGAAGTGTCAGCAAGCGACTAGGTGCTGCTGTGTAAAATCCGCTGAAAAAGTCCTGAAGGCTCCTAGGAATTATAGAAAAATTGCTAACAATCAAGATTTGAACGCTTTAATAAGTCATCGACGTCGTAAAATGATAAATTTTTTTCAGGGAGTGCGTATATTTTTTTGTTGATGTGTTGTACACCTAAATAATATAGGTGACCGGAAACATCAATCAGAGAAAGGAAATTCCCTCTATGGGAAGCAGATATCAATACTATAGAGTAACCTTTTTAATTCATATTTGTCTTTGTACTTTTACATTGATATGCCGACATGATATGGCAATCGTTCAAATGAACAGTCTAATCTCATGAGCACTTTTACTTGTATGGGGCTTCGAGTGACGCATTCCGATTACAGACGTTTTTGAAATTTATTTATCTGAAGCTAGAACATGCCGAAAAGTCGTTTGTTGCCAGCGAATGTTTTAGAACAGTGATAAAACTTGATGTGCTAGAAGCCACGAGAGCGGTCAAGAGAATTTTCATACGTGCATGCTAAGCCTATTTGCTAGTTTCTTAGATTTGCTTTCTCGACGGTCCAGTCACTTCATTAACTATGATCGTTTTTCAGACTTCTTTGGGAAGTTTGAAAATGAGAAAGTGATAGTGAGGATGTTGGTGTAGATTGTAATTATGAGTATTGTTCTGTTAGTGTGATTTTTTCTGAATACTTCAAACGCATCTTCGTTTGTAGGTATCATTTCAACTGTATAAGTTCAGGAGAATAAGAATCATGAGAACATGTACATTATCCTGTGCACGTATACAGATGCGAGCATAAACATTCACAGGCATTCCTAGTTTTTTTAAACAGTGGACACGAGTATCTTCGATAACCAAGGAATGATTTACTATGAAAAACTTGGCTAAGAATTCAGTTGAGGGTCAAACGAGTCACGCAGACGAGCGTTACTTGTTTAGATAATGTTTGTTTTATACTTAACTCGATACTTAACTCGATAGTGCCTTAGATGTTTGTGAGATTATCTTATCAATACGAGACAGCAGAATTCTTTGCATATTTTTATTAGAACATTCGTTCGTTTGATCTTTCACGGAACTTTGTGTAATAAATATGATGCGTAATTGATGTGATAGTTTAGAGAAAATTGTCGTATCTTTTTCCGCTACCAAGACTACAATATATTTATTACTAATAAGATTAAGATGAATCATCTAACTAAAGTCTATGTCTAAGTTGTAAATAACAAAAAAATCTTTTTTTTTTATTCGAAGACAAGTGGCATATCGAGTTTAATGGTACCCTTGATATCACGTCGCACTTGAAAATAGGTGCCTTCATCCGCTTGTTTGTCCATAATCGGATTTCTCTGTTCTTGTTGACCATCGATAGCAAAGAATTGTGTAACGATAGTGACGCGTAGTCGACCATTTTCATATGCTTCAATAGTGACACCTTCATCGAACGATGACATACTTGTTTGTGGCTGAACTTCCCAGTTCGATGGAACATCTAGATCTGGTAATGAAAGTTGATTGAGCGCTATGAAACTGAAATTTCGTTGTAATTCTTCAAGATTGACCTTATCTTTGAGAATTGGATGTTTGAAGCTAATGCTTATAAATGTTTGAGGAGTGGAACAAGTGAACATTGTCGGTGTACATTGTTTTAGTTCACCTTCTTTGATATTAAGTTCAATCTTGTTTCCATGTGCATCAAGCCATGCAACAATCTTTTTCTCTAAATCTTTGGCTACACTCGACGACATGTTTTTATCGTTACGAATGAATGAAGAAACGAGAGCGAGAGCTACTATACTTAAAAATAATAGCGATCTCTCATTCAATACATGTATATCAAAGGAAGAAAAATAAGAAACAGTAAGTGTACACCTGCATCAACAAGCAAAGTAGAGAGGGAAAGTTACGAACAATCAGTAATAGAGCTACCCCCTCCCGTCGCTCTTCGACATATATCTGTCGAAGAAAGGAAAAAATTGGTGTGCGCTTGCATCAACGAGCACAGCGAACAAGAAAAAAAAATGGTGTACGTTTGCATCAAGAAGTACAGCGAATAAGAAAAAAAATACAAATCATCAATAACACGGTTCAATGATTTTATACTTATCTAATTTTCTGAGACTCATTTCTTCTTTGTTGATAAGTGTGTATGATTCATTTGTTTTTTCTATACATGATATCTTTCCTAATAGATTTATGAAATGTGGAGATAAGTTCTAAAAGCGGCCATTTTTATAATCAAAGAAAAATGATAAAAACTGCTAAAGGAATCTTGTTTGAAGAAAATATCGTAGAATTAAAGCAAAGCTTTTTCAGCCCAAAGAAGTTCTCTGATTTCAAGTCTTCAAAATTCAAATCTAATCAAAATGAAATAAATCACTTGATGCATTTAACATGTTTCTCCTATTGTGTTTGTATGAGGTTTATATCAGACACAACATAGAAATATCTTTTAACAAATGTTGAATTCAATTGATGTTCATCATGACAGTTTCGTAGATGAGCTCAAACATTGGCTGCGTTTGCTGTTTGAGGCCATAATCTATGAACAACTAAACTGAATGTATTACTGTGACGATATTGAAACTTTTTGCAACGTGATGCTTGACGAAATGTATTACGGACTTCGTCTCTCTCGATTGCATTCACACAATTCAATTTGCCAATATCATGCTTTAGATACGACTCCTTTTGTATTGATTCACAATGAGAACTTAGATTAACTGATCAAATCATAAATCTTGGTTCAAAGTGTGGGAAAGTAATTAATAGAACTCGCATTATAATTATTTAACGACAATAATGCAGACGATATTTGATGAACAGAATAAGCTAGGAAAGCCAGCTTTTGGTAGATCGAAGAGAACAGATTTTTCCCTCAATTGTTATTATCTTGTCGAATAATTAGTTTTTATAATTTTGTTAAATATTTAAAATATTTATCAATATCGGATTCAATTTTTGAACTTGGTGTAAGAAGAATAAAAGATTGTTAGATTAGGAAGAAGATATAATGATGATTGAAAGAAGAAACAGGAAGTGATTGAATCAAAAAGTTCTCTATTTAAACTCGATCCGGAATATGGTTGTATTGCTAAAATTAATTTTTGCAATGTTTAGGAAATACAATCAAGTGAGTTGGCATCGTTGCTTGTTTTTCTCCAAAATATGAATTGTGCATGAGTAGATAGGTTTGTTCGACTCTTCAAGTGAACAATATTGACGACATTGCTTTCTCTCTATCTCTGTTTAATATGTGTCGGTCGGTCTCAAATTATATTTGTTGAAAGAGACTCGATCTTCCCTGTCTCTTTGAGTCAGTCTTCATACATGAGTGAACACTTGCAGGCTAGAAAAAAAGGTGAACAACCGTGACCTTTTCCTTCGCTATTGTTCATTCGAATCACGATTTCTCTCATTCGTCTCTTTGTTCGATTATTATTGTTCGTGTCCAATGATTGATTATAGATCGATGATGAGTAGAACTCTCGATGATAGGTATCTACTTTCTTTTCTATATTTTGTTGATGATAAAGGAAGACACAGAAGGAAAGGAAATAATTCAGAAACGTACGACAGTCTGTTATTTTCCTTCTTCTTGTTTATGATTCGCTGCTAACAGCTAATCTATTAGGTGTCAATGACTGCATTTTGATGAACTGCAAATACGAATTTCTTATCTGAGTGAGACAATGAAATTGTGGCCAGATTGCCACGAAAGACCATCGATCATGGTATCATTGTTTTATAATGTTACAAAGTTGGAGAACTTTACTTGTCTTTCTCAGTCTTGCAGTTGTTCCTCTCTATTGTTTGACTAGACAAAATTTAATTGATGGCAAGTCTATTTTTACTCATGTTATGATCTATAATCATCCGAGTCACGTACAATTCTATGAACAACGAAGTCATTAACATTGCGAACGACAACAAAGAATAAGTAGACTATCCCTTAGTAAGATTATAAAAAAATTAAGTTATTCTACGTGAGCTTTATTTATAATAATCACAGAAGGAGGGTATAAATATGGATGTTGAAGTGACTGAAGATGAGAGTCACACCTACATCCACACCCTTTTTGTTTCATACGAATGAGTGATTCGTATGTGTTGTTTTGCACCATTGGAGCCTGGTCGAATCAGTTACTCTAGAAAATTCTGAATATGCATTTGCGATAGAAATCAGTAGAAGTCGAATGATTACAATCAATAGAAATAAGATATATTCTTGAGTGTTTCTTTCTTTCCGTTGCATATATCGATCACGTGGTGAGTGTGAATGTTTGGATAGATGTCGATGCCAGTATTCAATGAACACTCATACCTACACCCTCAATCGGTTTTCAAGAGACCCAGATATGATAATGGGTAGGTCGTAAGTAAAAAAATTATCGATTAGGTTCATAAAGAATGAAGGCAGACAATGGATGTGTAGTCGAAAGAGTACAGTTGCCAAGATTGAACGTTGAAGAGCACCAGCAAATATGTTCATTGAATGTGAAACTTTTTCTCCAATGTGAATTGACGTTGTTCTCCTTTTCAACCAAGAAAAAGTCCATCGTAGACGTGGTAATGCAAAATCTAGTTCTGAGAAATGTTGAAATTAGAGCAGAGTACCACATCTTGTCAAACATTGATATGAAGTTTACGAATATTACTAGAACTGGTTTATTGTTCGCTACGATAGTTAGTCTTAGATCTTCTACTAGATACAAAATACGTGCTTGAAGTCTTCTTGTTGAGCTAAAGTCGGACCGTTTGTCTATGTAAATTCCTTTATTGCTACAACATATACTAACACGCACGTGTATTATTGTCTCAAAACATTTTCCTAAATTAGATAAAAGTGAAATCAGTGTAAGTTTATTCACTTCGGGTTATAATCCATCTTTAGACAGATAAATCACTTCAACATGTTTCCTTTCCTGAACAACTGCTGCTGTTTCTACAATTTTGTTACATGTTATAGTCATAATTTGTAGGTATTCGACTGGAAATTGATGGATTAAAAACAATGAACAATCTTTCATTATCTGTCAATTACTTCTTCTAATGATATATTTTCAGTTGCAATATATTATTATGCGTCTCAATGTCGTGAGCTACTAGAGTTAAACGATGAGCTTTGGAAATGTATTTCATAAAAATTTGCAAAGGTATCAACAATTAACTGATGAACTTTTATCATATCTGTGATAGTAGTAAGACCTTTAAAAGCTAGTATATAAGGATGAAACGTAGTATAAACATGTTTTCATATGTCATGGCTTTCAGAAATATAAAATATTTTATATTCCAATTTTTTTCTGCAAAGATAGTGGTTTTTCATTTAAGTAGATATTTTTCAAGAATAGATCATTTTTTAAGATTTTCTTGCTTTCTAGATCCTCTGTATGGTTTTCGTGCAATGCTATGTTTCCTTGTCGGTTGTACAAGATATGTTAATCATGATGATTAGTATTTTTTGACTGGTAGGTATTTACGCATTCTGTCCTTCGTAGATGAAAGAAGTGGAGAGAAAAGTTCAAACAAAAAATCAGTATCGAGATTATAAACAAGAGAGTTGAAGTAGGGAAAAACCCATTTCAGAAAAAAGAGAATATTTTCCAGTGAATTTTACGAAGAACATTGTTTACTCCGATTAATAGACATCTTACTGCAAAGTGAATCAATATATAAAGCATATGTAAGTACGATGACAAACGACGGTATATGGTCGTTTACATTGACCGTATACAATGAAAATATGGTATATGTACGCCGAAAATACAGTCGTAAATCATGGAGTAGGATTATGACAAAATACGACATGTAGGTGAACTGTATTTGATCATTTACGGTCGTAAAGACTCTATAAGGCTAATCATTCATTCATCATTTTGTTTCGTGCATGCAACAACATACAACCAAGGTGATGAAACATACAGAACTTATGCATTTTCGTGCATTGTTTTTCTAGATAATTACTCGAGTAACCTTTAGTTGACAACCTAATGAGATATCGATGTGGTCTGATCAGAATTAAATGGACTCAAAGCGGCTGGATATTAAGATTTTACCGTCTTGTACTTTGAGAATAGGTACTAATAATTCAAATTAAATTGAAAAAATAGTAATTATTCGATTTTCCAAAAAAAGACCAGACGTACCGAAGGGTAAATTCAAACCACGCTTTCAGAATGTGTTGCAATGAGCATCTCATGTCGCAAAATACGACACATGCGACATATTTTTTATTAGTGCGAATGCATACTATTTGTGATTATATTATGGCAAAAAAATTGAAAACGAAAAAGCTATTGATTTATTTTTTTGATAAAAAGTCTTTCGGATACATCCTGAAGTGTAAAGACAAAATTTATTTTTTCTGGTTGGCATGCATATTTTCTTGACCCATATGCGCACTCATCCTTGGTATACAATACAGAGTGGATCTATGCGTCTCACTCAACAAAAATTCATGTGCCATTCTTTAAATATATGCATAGTAATACTCATCAGAGTTGTTTTGAGTATTTCATAAAAGAGACACATTCTCTGACTGCTTTTCCGTGGGTTTCTTAGCATCATTTAGTAGATCTCGTTCATATCTATCGATTAATATAAAATTCTAAGTGGACTGCTACATTAGAGAAAAGCACTATGGGATATTCGTCATTGGAGTCCATTAATGGTATGCGACATGAATCATATCCTTATATACAGAAAGGCAAGGAGAAATATTTTCTCATATGTTCATACTACTAAC